TAGGCGGGCTTGAGGCTGAGCTGGCCCTGCTCCGGGCCACACTCAGCGGACGGCGGCAGGGTCCCCCTCCGCTCTGGGGGGTGGTCTGCAGGCCCGGAATGAGACAGGTGGGTTGGGGGTGCACAGCCGCCCCTGACTGACCGCACTGTACTGGGTGCTGACAGCAGACAGTGTCCCCACGCTGCTGCACAAATGACTGGGGGCTTAGAACCACAGAAATAGTCTGTTCTCACAGTCTGTAGACCACAGTCCACACTCAACGGTGGGCAGAGCCACCCTCGCTTGAAGGCCCAGAGGGAGGACCTTTCCTGCCCCTTCTGGCTTTTTCTGGGCTCCAACCCAAGAGGCTCTGGCTCCTCCCCCGTGGCTCCGGCTCCGCCCCCGTGGCTCCAGCTCCTCCCCCGCGGCTCCGGCTCCTCCCCCGCGGCTCCGGCTCCGCCCCCGCGGCTCCGGCTCCTCCCCCGCGGCTCCGGCTCCGCCCCCGCGGCTCCGGCTCCTCCCCCGCGGCTCCGGCTCCGCCCCCGCGGCTCCGGCTCCTCCCCCGCGGCTCCGGCTCCGCCCCATGACTCCGGCTCCTCCCCCGCGGCTCCGGCTCCGCCCCATGACTCCGGCTCCTCCCCCGCGGCTCCGGCTCCGCCCCCGCGGCTCCTCTCCACGCGGCTAGTCGAGCTTCCCTCTTTCGCACGAGGACACCAGTCAGAGTGCCCGCGGGCGCACCCTGACCCAGCGCGGCCTCATCGTAGCTAGATTTCATCTGCAGAGACCTGGCCTCTGGGTCGGGCTATATTCACGGGTTCCCAGCAGACCTGGAGTTTGGCTCAACACCGTGGTACCCGACGTGACCTCCACTCCCTGTAGAAGGGTCCACGGTGCCACCCACTCCCGGCTCAGCCTCGGGGTCGGCTGACGAGCCCAGTCTGGGGCCCTCTGGGCCAGCACCACTTGGGGCCCCGGGGACCTTGCGGGGGGCAGACGGCAGGCTGGCCCTCCCAGGAAGGTAGCAGCACCCCAGCCTCCTGCCCCACTCGAGCTGTGGGAAAAGCCAGCAGCGGCCACAGGGAGGACGCAGGGCCCAGGGAGGAGCTTCAGGCAGCTCAAGAAGGCTTCTCTGTGCGGGGAGCGGGGGGGTCAGTGGAGCAGGACCCAAGGGTCAGCAGGAGCCGCCACTTGCAGGGGGACCCGGTGAGGGCAGAAGCCTGAACCGGAGACACGGGGACACAGGCAAGGCCGGTGCGGCCGCGCAGAGAGGGTGGAGGCGGGACGGAGACCTCACGGCAGGGACAAGGTTCTACGGGCACCGGGACAGGGTGGCTGTCCAGGACAGAGGTGGCAGCTGGCACGGGGGCTTGGAAACAGGGCGCCATCTCTCCTGTGCCAAAGCCCCAGCTGTTTCTTGGCTTTGGGGCTCTTGGGGTGGGGCCTGGAGGCCGCGCCAGCCCATGGCTGCAGCCTGCTGACCGCTGCGGGGCCCCAGCTGTCCGTGGCCATCCCCTCGGCGGCCCAGAGGGGACGCCCAGAGGAGACTGCGGACGCCCTTGTTCCAGAACGGGTGTGCAGGCCCCGCACCCCCACTCTGCCACCCGACAGATCCTGCAATGTTTCCCAGGCAACTGTTTCAATCTGGCCCGTCTGCCTGGCACTCCACACGCCCACGGATGCCTCTGCCTGGTTGCGGGCACGCTTGCCCGCCTGGCACACACCGGCTGGCAGGTGTGGTCCAGGGGAGCCCGCTGCCTGGCTTCTCTGGAAGGCCGGGCTCTAGGGAGGAGGCAGCCCAGCACCCCGGGCCGTCCTCACCCGGAGAGCAGGTGCATCCAGGGCACCCTGAGTGGGAGCCCCGCTGTCCTGTCACGCGGCAAGGGAGGTGGCAGCCCCCGCTGTGAGCACGTGCCGCCCCCAGCCAGTGTCACCTGGAAGACCATTCTGCTTTCTAGGGCTTTCCAGGTCGTGCCTGACAGCTTCGGCCCCTGTTCGGCCCATCTGTGCTGTCCTGATCCCATTTGCGCGGTGGCCCGATGGCAGAACAGGGCCCCCCAAAAGCCAAGGAGGGGGCAGGGAAGCTAAGTGGGGCTTAGACTACTCCAGCTGGTTCCGGCCTGGGTCTGGCTAGAGGTCGTCCGTGCCTCAAGCCCCGCCTCGCAGTAGAGGCTGAGCGGGAGCTCCGGCCAGGCTCCCGGGGGCATTGGCACCTGTCGGATGCAGGCCCTGCCCCCCCAGCGGGAGTGAGGATCCGCGCCCGCCCTGGCCCTGAGAGCACCAGGAGCTGAGACCTGTGCTCCCTGGTGGTGGGAGGTGGCGGGAAGGAGGGGCCCCCGACTGCCTGGCCGCACGGGTCCGATGCTGGACCGGGCAGCCCGGGGCGGGGGGGGGGGGGGGGAGGGGCTGGCCTATCCCCATGTGCTGCCCTGCCCTGTGGACAGAGCCAGGGAGAGCTCGGAGTGCGCTGCGGGGCAGGGGTCCCGCACCCCTACACTTGCTGCTCTGCCCAAGGGGCCTCTTCTTGCTGACATAGTCTCTGTAAACATGAATTCTGGCTCATACAGAACTTGTTTCCAGAGCGCAGGCATCCGCCGAAATCAGAAATTCTCTTCCGGTGAAGCTGCCCTTGCTGCCTGTCCCCGCAGCAGGCAGCTCAGAAAACGTGAGCCTTTCAATCAAGTTCAACATCCAACCTTCTCCTGTCCCAGCGCAGCTGCTGCGTCCTGCCAGTGAGTGACGCCGGAACAGTTGGGACAAGGTGGGCCCGTCGGGGACTTGGTGCTTCCACCCCAGGTCCCTGTGCGGGGGAGGGGCGGTGAGGAGGGGGAGGGGCAGGCCTTCCTGACAGGCGCCAGCACCTGCGGCCCGCCTGGCGGGTGACCCCTGCTCTGTGGTCCGTGGAAGTGTCCCAGGCTGTAGGTGCCACCGGGATGGGGGAGTTAATCCCCAGCAGCCGGATGAAACCAGAGAGGAGAAGCCCCCAGAAAGACAAGTTGTCCACATTGCTCTGGCTCCCGGAGGGCCTCTGCTCTGCCAGGCAGCGCCGGACTGGCCTGGGGTCCCGGGGTTCTCCCTTGGCAGCCAAGGGCAAACAAGGTCCCCTGGGCTGGTTCAGGCCAAGGAGAACGGGTGTCTCCCCCTTCTGGGTCATAGGCCGCAGCCAGGCTCTGTCAGGCCCTGACTGTTTCCCTGGGCTTGCCCTCACCGGATCACCTGCCCTCACCGGGTCACCTGCCCTCACTGGGGGGTCACCTGCCCTCACTGGGGGGGTCACCTGCCCTCACTGGGTCACCTGCCCTCACTGGGGGGTCACCTGCCCTCACTGGGGGGGTCACCTGCCCTCACCGGGTCACCTGCCCTCACTGGGCGGGGGTCACCTGCCCTCACAGGGGACACTGCCCTAAGGCCAGGGCACGAGTCTCCCTGCCAATGCCTTGCTCTGCCTTTCTTGGTCAGGGGCCCAGGCCGCATGGGGTCTATAGAGGAAAGGGCAGGAGCCGCTGGGACACTGAAGCTGCACTGCTCAGCTCCGGGGCCTGTGTGGAGCCGTCGAGGCTCCTAGAGATGTGCCCGTGCAGCCGCCCCGCATGGGCGGACAGCTGAGCACACACTGGCTGTGCCTTCCTCTGCCTCGGGGAGGCCTGGCGCCAGCGCCTCCAGGTGTCCCCATGGCCAGGGCTGCAGAAAAGTGCCGGCACTTCCAGCAAAGGCTTTGAAGCTGTGGCGGCTGAAGCCGGGGCGTGGGAACCCCTGACGCAGCCGTCGGGTGGCCCTGGGCCTGCGGGGCTCCTGCCGCGTCAGCGTCAGCCCCAGGAGCCTCACATCGGGGCTTCCCTATCCTGGGAGCAGACCCCGCCGCGGTCACCTCCTCCAGGGGCTCCCGGGACCACCCTGCTTGCAGCTCTGCTTGTTCATGCACGTGCGGTCTGTTTTCCATCGGTGGGCAGGCTCTGGGGGTGAGGACCCAGCCTCATTCTCCCGGGGCACTTTAGTATCTACGACAGTCCCCACACAGGTAGATATTCAGGCAGTATTGGTGCCAGGTCTGCCCTGGCAGCTGGACGGAGGGTGACTTGACTCAGGGATGGGGGCCTTGGGGCTGGAGAGTGCAGTGGGCTTGGCGGAGGACAGGACTGTGACACGCGGACGGGACGAGGTGAGGAGGCTGAACTGAGCCATGGGACCCTGAGGAACGGGGTGCAGAGCAGAGCCCCGAAGCTGCTGGGGTCCCAGCGCTTCAAGTGTCATCTACTTGTCCATGGAGGGAGCTTCTGGCCACCCAGCCCCCTGCGCGCTCCAGCCCTGGCGGGGAGGGGGGGGGCGTCACCCAGAGGCCCATCTTGGGGCCCACGGGGCACAGGACTCTACAAGAGCAGCAGCAGCGGAGGGTGCCTGGGCGTCTGCTGCCACCAAGTGGTGGACTGAGTGGTGGCTGGGTGAGAGCACCCCCCCCCCCAGAAGCCCCCTCCCCGCCTCCGCCGGCCACCTGGACTTTGTTGCTTCACTTTCTCCCCCTTAATTAAAAAAACCCAGATTCCTCCCTTTACGAGGAACACTTGATCGTCCCCATTTTCCACGTCAGCAGAGAGGGAAACTGAGGGTCTGAGCTGACCCTTGCCACGGGAGGCGGGAGAGCAGGGGCGGCCCAGGCGATGCGGCCGGTGGGCTGTGCCTGAGGGCGGCTGCCGGGGGCGGGGGGGGGGGGGCCTGGCCTGACCGCACGCCCAGTCCTCCTCCCGGGCCTCTGAGACCCCAACCCTCCGGGGGACCGTGAGGGCTGGGTCCCCCCACGTCCTTCCGCAGCTGGAAATCCGTTCCCTCAGTCCCACCTCGGGTAGAGGAGGGGACCGGCCTCAGTCTCCACAAGTGCTGAGGTCAGAACGCTTTCCTCACTGACAGGGTCCCAAAGGCGACACGGCCTGCGGCCGGGGAGCGGGCGGGGGGAGGGGAGGGGCGAGGGGCGGGGCCTGCGTCGGGGGCGGGGTCCCCGGCCGGCCGCTCACTTCCGCCGGACGCGCGGCTCGGGACAAATGGAGGCGGCGCGGAGGCCGCGGATGGGGTTGCGCCGCCGGAGGCCGTCCTCGGGGGGCGGGTGAGGCCGGGGTCCGGGGGACCGGGGAAGAGGGTGCGGGGTGCTGCGGGCAGGCCAGTGCGTGTTTCCCGGAACCCGACCCGGTCCGCCGCACGCCCGCCCCCTCGGGGCTGTCACCCTCTCCCGAACCCCTCCAGCGCGGGGTGCACCGTCACTCGGTCTCCCCACTTTCCGGAACCTCCTCCCCGCGGCCCCCCCACCCCACTGAGGTCTTCCCGCTCTGCCCTCGCCCTCCCCGCGGGACCCCCGCTAAGGTCTCCCCACTCCCCACCCTCCTGAGGCCCCTCCACCGCGGGGCGCACGCTCGCTAGGTCTCCCCGCTTCACGGAGCCCTCTCCCCGCGGCCCCCCGCGCTGAGGTCTTCCCGCTCTGCGTCCGCCCCGCGCCCCCCCTCACTCCCTCCCCCTCCCGGCTGAGGTCTCCTCTATCGATCCCCCTGCCCTCCCCGCTCCGCGGAGCCCCCTCCCCCACGGGCCCCCTGCGAGGCGCCCCCCACTAAGATCTCGGCTCCCTCAGGGGCGGCGCGGGGCCCCTCCCGGGGGACGGCGGCGAGTGCGCGCTGCCGTGGGCGGAGCTGCTGCGCGCTTGCAGCGCGGATCTGAACCCCGACGGAGAGCTGCCGCCGCTGCCCGCCTTCCCGGGCCCGGTGCGTCGCGGGGACCCCCGGGGCGGCCGGGGGTGTGTGTGCGGGGGGCGGTGTCCCTGGCCGGAGAGGCGCCGGGGCGCCGCTGACGCGGCCCGACGACCCCGTTTGCAGGAGTCCGGGCAGGAGCGCGAGCGCGCCGCGTCTCCCGAGGTGTTCAGCGTGGGCCCCCACACCTTCCCCTGGACGCCCTTCCCACCGGCCCCGAGCGGAGGTGGGGGCCCGGGCTGTTCCTACAAGCTGCTCCTTGGGGCCAGGGAGCGCCCGGGGTCCCCCGCCCGGTCCCCGCACCGACGCCTGGAGCCCGAGCCCCTGGGGACCCCGGGCGCCAGGGAGCAGCGGCAGCAGCAGCGACGGGAGGCGGCGCCGACCCTGCGGAGCTGCCCCATGTGCCAGGTCGACTTCGGCCCCAGGTGAGTGCGCCCGGCCCTGGGCCTCCCTCCCCCTCCGCGGACCCCAGCCCTGTTAGGAAGCCACAGCCGTCGTTTGGGGTAACGAGGGTGCCTGAGCTCAGCTGTGGGCCCTTCAAACAGGAGCTGGTGCGGGCGGAGTGCGCAGCGCGCTGAGTGCACCCGCCGGGGGAGGGGCCGGTCTGGGGGTCCACCCGCCCTACCCCTTGGAGGCCTGTGCACAGGCTGCCGCCTCCCCTGAGCGGACTCCCCAGCGGCAGGGCGCCCACCCTCTTCTCGCAGCTCAGCCTCTGAGCCAGTCCACCTTGAGGTAGGGGACCCGGTGGTGACTGACAGGCTGTGGGGTCACCAGGCAGTTTCCTGTTCAAAGAGTCCGCCAATACCTTCCCAGCGGTAGGTTGGAGGTTTTATACAAGAGGGTGTCTAGAGATGTTTTTGTTCTTTAAAAACTCTATATCTTTTTATTTATTTATTTGTAAGCAAAGGGAATGGCTCCAGTTTTGCTAAGATGTTAATCCTCGAAACACCTAGCTTGTGGGCCATGTGTCACAGAGCCAAGGACACAGATGTGGGGGTCACAGGGGTCGGGATTGTCAAAAGGAGCTCGGGCAGGTGAAGCGATTGGACAGCAGGTTTCAGTAAGTGGACCAGCTCCGGACCTCGGGTGGCTCCGGGGAAGGTGTTCTTAAGTCACGGGCCACGTCCCTGGTCCCCCGGAAGCAAAACCAGCCCAGGACAGTGAAGGCGACGGAGCAAACACCGGTAAACCTTTCATCAAAATAAACAGAAAGGAATTTAGACCTGACCTTTTATTTTTATTTTTTATTAAAAAATTTTTTAAATGTTTATTTTTGAGAGAGACAAAGTGAGAGTAGGGGAGGGGCAGGGAGAGAGGGAGACACAGAATCAAGAGGCTCCAGGCTCTGCACTGACAGCACAGAGCCCTACGGGGGGCTCGAACCCACGAACCGTGAGATCATGACCTGAACCGAAGTTTGATGCTTAACTGACTGAGCCCCCCCGGGCGCCCCTGGACCTGACCTTTTATTCACAGAGATGACATTCCATCCATGCTGTGCTATCCGGGCTTCTCCGGTCTGCGCTTTGTATCACAGCAAGCCTTTGAGAGTCTGGTGTTGGGGTGAGCCCAGCCCCCCGGTGTCTATCTCCTCTCCGAGCCCGCGGTTCTGGCGAGGCCGTGGGTGAAGCCCTGGCGTGAAGCCATGTGCTGGGCGCGGAGGAGGAAGCCCAGCGGCCCACGGGACAGTCCTTGGCTCTGCGAGTGCCAGGCAGTGTGCAAAGAGGTTCCAGGCCCAGCTACTTGCTGTACTGCCTGCGTCTTGTCTGTGCTGACGCCAGGGTTCGGGGATGAGTCGCAAAGCCTGACCGGGTGGCCTGTTCGAACACAGCAGCGAGCACGTTTAAAACGAGTGGTCTTCCTGGTTCATCCCCATTCAGAGAAACCCAGGGGCCGAGGCCCCAGAGGGAAACGGTTTCCTCGGCAGCTGCGGTGGTCAGGGCGCCCTGCTCCCCTCCCATTCCTGGGGGTCCTTTTTGTCCTTGGCACACGCTGGCGTTTCTACACGGTCTCCAAGAAGACTCTCAATGACAGAGACGTTAGAGAAAAGTTCCAGTTTTGAGCTGTTGTGAGCAGTTAATTAAGGCTCGGAGAGCACCTCAGTGTTTCCAAAGTGGGCGGCCGTGCCTTGAAAATGCCTGTGGCTCCTTCCGCCACCTGACGGCAAGGGAGAGGGTCTGGGGACCAGAGCGCAGCCCTCAGCCTGTGGCAGCGACGGGGGAGCACAAACGTCCCAGGTCACTGGAAGCCAAGGCTCGCATCCTTCGTGGGCTGCCCAGGGCAGGAGAGACACTGGCCACGGAGGGCCCGGTGTAGCACGTGGACATGGTAATTAAACCGTCAGATTGCCTTGTGACTTTTCTGGAAAAGTGTTGGCTTTTAGTAATTATCGGGAATGTTTTTTATACAGTACATTTTATTCAAAAAAAATTTTTTTTAAGTAAACTCTACACCCAACGTGGGGTCTTGAATTCATGACTCCCAAGGTCAAAAGTCACGTGCTCTACCGGCACAGCCAGCCGAGCGCCCCACTTGGGAACCTCTCCTGGAGACTGAAGCGTGCACTGCCCTCCGACAGCTGCTGAGCTGGGGCCGGTCCCCGGGGGCTACAGTCCCCTGCGCGGTTGTGGCCAAGCGTGTGCGTTGGGGAGACGGTGCTGCAGGACGAAGTCACTGATGTCCTCAAAGCCTTGGTGCATTCCGGGGAACAGTTTTAGTCTCTGGTACTGGATTTGCCAAACCGGTGTGAGCCCCCATCCCCCGAAGACGTGCCTGCTGCTGAGCCGGGCATGTGTACTTCCTGGTGCCTGTGAGTCACACGCACGGTGGGGAGACGGGTCCCGCAGGCCAGCGCCGTGACCCTGTGGAAACCAGAAGCGGAGGTGTGTCCCGCATGCTCGCTAAGAGCCCTGCTTGCTGGCGTCTCGCCGGCTGCGAGGCCCCTCACGCAGCTGGACTCGGAGCCCCCTCTGAGCCGGAAGCCGGTTGAGGGTCCCCTGTCCTGCAGCTGCGCCAGCTGTCCACACTCTGGGTTTCCGTGTAACAGCGGGGCAGGCCTGACCTGGGACGCGCTGAGGCAGGGACTCTGCAGAGCGGGTTTGGCCGAGACCAAGCTCTTCCACCAGGGGAGGTCCGAGGGGCCCAGAGGGTGCCCTCCCGCCCGAGGGTACCTCCCGGGAACCCCAGGCAAGGTGACCGGGTGCAGACCTTAGAATCCTCTGGCAGCCTTGAAGAGAGCCTGCAGGGGCCCCAGGGCCTTGGGAGCACACTGAGCCGCCCACAGGGCCTGAGACGGCGGCCAGCACGGGCGTGGGCGCCCAGAGCAGCAGTGCGAGCCAGGGCGGTGCTCCGGGGAAGGGCCTTTGCGCTCTGGCTGGCGAACTTGGCCCTGACGGGATGGCCTGAGATGTGGGCAGAGGCAGGGGCCATCTTGGGAGGTCTCAGAGTTGGGAGAAGCCATCTGGGCAGATCACCTCGGAGGCCCTGTCCCACTGGCGTCTCCAGAAAGTCCCACAGGACTCAGGAGGTTGTATGAGGCGGCCGTTGTGTCAGCCGCTGAGACTCAGGGACCCCGACGGGGGAAGCCGTTGGGCCAGACCCATGTCTCGCACTCCGTAAGGCGCAGGTGGGGGCCCCGGCCGCCATGACACATGCCCGGTCCGGGGCAGAGGTTGCGGGTGACGTTCGAGTCCCAACGGGAGGGGTCGTCACCCAGGCTGCCGAGCCCAGGGAGATGTAGGAGGCCGGGCCATGCGGAGCGTGAGGAGGGCTGCGTGAGGCGGGCCTGGTCCGGCTGCGGCCCACAGCAGGGGGCCCAGAGCTGCGGGCAGGCCGGCCACCCGGTAGAGCCCACCCTGCCCTGGACACGGGCGTTGCTTGCGGTCGGGGCTCAGCCCTCCCAGGGCGTGGGCACGAGGAAGGGCCGCCCTTGACCGTGGGGCCAGCGGCTGGCAGTCCTTGCCGAGTCCCTCTCCTGCAGACGGGCATTCAGGCTCCAGCCTGAGCAGTTCGCTGGGAGCCGTGAGGTCCCCAAGCTGAGTCGGGGCCAGAAGCCCCGGGGAGGCTCGTTGGGACACAGGGCTCCCCTGCCCCCCAGCCTCAGCCGTAGGACCTGTGTCACCCTCGAGAACGTGCCTGATGGACCCCCTGACACCCCGTGGCAGGTGCACTGAGCGCCTGGCCCAGAGAAGCTTCCCCGAGGGACGGGACTGGGGAGAGGCCTTTTCTGGTTGGTGCGCCACCCCCCACCCCCTCCCCGGGTTCTGACCGGCTACGGAGACCGGGTTGGGCAGGAAGGTGTGTGCTGGGCACGCTTCCCGCTGCGCGAGTGACCTCTCCTCCCTCTTGCAGGCTGGCCCAGCTGGACATCGACAGCCACCTGGCTCAGTGCCTGGCAGAGAGTGCAGAGGACGTGGTGTGGTGAACCGATGGCCACGTGGGCCCGGCCGGCTGTGGCTCCACGTGCCCGAACCGTGTCCTCTCTGCTCTGAAAGCTGCAGATTAAAAAACGTTTTCTCGTGGACTGATGCTGTAAGTCTGTTCGTATCGAAGTCGAAACATGGGATCTTTTCTCGTTCCCACTTCGTGGAGCGGGGCGCTTTCCTGCCGTCAGAGGTGGGCGGAGCCCCCCACAAGCAAACTGGGCGCGTCCCGAAGTCGGCCACGGCCAGATGGATAGGTGGGGGGCAGCGCGCTCGTCGCCTCTGTGGACTCCACTCACACTGTGTTCCGATTCCCCGGGTGAACTTGTTCCTTACACGGCGCGGGACCACTGCAGGCTGAAGACAGTCACTGCGAGGCACCCTGGACCCCGCTGACCCTGCTGTCCCCTCCGGCAGTAGGCAGGCCTGTCTGCTGGAATGTTCCGCCTCAGCCCTGTGTCGTTCGGGCTTCCAGGACAAGTGGAAGATGGGGCACAAGACTGTCTGTAGGTAGTTTTCCTTCCATTGCTGGCAGCCCGCAGATTCTGGAAAAGCCGGTCTCCGGTGACACCCTCATCCCCACCACAGCCACGTGGCTGCAGAGCCTGGCAGCGGGAACGGATCACACAAGCCGTGAGAGGACCGTGGAGGGACCAGGCGACCGACGCCCCCCTGGAAAGACTACGCGCTGCAGCGCCCCCAGCTGTAGGCGCTTCTGGGAAGGGCAAAACTAGAGACCGTAAAAGGTCACAGGTAGTGGAGGACGGGGGAGGGGCACGGATCGGGGAGGGGACTCTTGGGGCCGTGAAGCCACTTTGCGTGGGCTGAGGTGTTAGATACGTGTCATCAAACGTTCTGTGCAAAGCCACGTGATGGACAATGTGGCACCCTGCAGATAGGGCCGTGTCCCTGCAGCCTCTCGGAGGGGGTGGGGTCCGTGGGGGTCTCTGCAGCTGCCCCGCCACTTTCATGGGAACCTGAAAGTGCTCTAAATAAAGTCTGTTTTTAAAAACCTCTGCTTCCTAGAAACGTCCACTGTTGACAAGAACAATGGCAGCAAGCGTGTTCGCTCCAGCCTGTACTAGATGCGCAGCGTACGGACCGCCCGGCCCGAGGGCGACGGCACGGTCTGCAGGAGGGAGGCCGCCGGCCGCGCAGGTCGCTAACTGCCCAGACCACACGTGGCGGCTCTGGTTTCCACGGAGCAGCAGGACGCACGCCGTACGGGGACCAGAGCTGTCGGCAAACGTGAGGATGGTGGTCTCTGACCCCTGCTGCGACCCGTCCTGCACCTGAGCTGTGATTCGGCCACAAGCAGGACGCTGCACGCATTTGCACGTGAGCAGCCACGCTCGTGCCTGGGATGCGGGCCGTAAAGTGGAACGAATCCAGGACCCCTGCAGACACTGTCCTTGTACCCAGCGTGACAAAGGGCCCCCGTCAGGGTGAAGGGGGCGCTCGAGACGTATCGCCTTCCTGGGCACGCGGGGGCTCTCGCCCTCCCCGGGTGACATCCGCTCGTCCCTGAGCGCTGCTCACCGCTCACAAGTGACCGCATGGCGCTCCAGCGGGAGCTGTGCGATGACGTCACCGCCAGCTGTGACAGACCGAGAAGCTGGCTCCCGGGTCTGCTCCATGGTCCCAGATTTCGGTCTTCGGAGGCACGTCTTCCCAGTTGCAGCTGAGGTGCTGGTTGAGGCACGTCTCCGTGGCCTGTGAGGGCTGCTCTGCCGCAGGGGTGGGGGTGGGGGGAGCTGCGGGTCGGCAGTGCCCGGCCCTGAGCGTGCAGCTGGCCCATCTGGCTGGGGTGAGGGCAGCGCCACGCAGGCGCCCCTTCGTTTCCACCACATCTCCTGCCCGAGATGCGAGCCTGGCCCCCAGGGGTGCGCTGGTGATGGAAGCAGCAGAGAGACCTGCGGCGCGTCCCGCGGGTGGACGAGGAGCCTCCCGCGCTCTGCCTGAGCCACAGAATGTGTTAGAGGTGATTTGCGTTCTTTTAGAAAACCTTCCGTTGCGCGTTCACCCGAGGAGGGGAAGGGCGGCAATGCCACCGGGCCAGTGAGGGAGCAGGAAGCGGCTGTGTCGGGAGTGCGCAGAACAGCGTTCCGCAGGGGTGGCCGCTCGCACACAGATCTGTTCAAACTTCCTAGTTCTGAGCATGACTGTTACCCATACACACAGTTTATCAAAAATGTAACAGGACGTCACGTGGGTGCTGCTTAGTGTTTCCAGGAGTATCTCGTACAGGCTCAGTTTGATTGTCTCACTTTCCCGTGGTCTCTGGAGCTTCGGGGAGCGGCGTTGGAGCGCAGGACCCTGGCCCCTGGCTGGCCGACGCCCCGCTCTGGGCTCCCCGTAGGCCTGCACGTGGAAATACAGGTAAAGGGGCGCCTGGGGGGCTCAGGTCAGGATCTGGCCGCTGGAGGGTTCCGGCCCTGCGTGGGGCTGTGCCTGGAGCTGCTTCCAATCCTGTGCCGCCCTCTCTCTGTGCCCCTCCCCCACTCTCTCAAAAGTAAACGTTAAAAAAAAAAGTTAAAGAAACTACGTGTTACGTGTTAGCGGCAGGAACTTACCGGGATGTCACGTCCCTGCTGGCGCCCCCACCCGCCCACCCACGCGGTATCACCCGCCAGGCTGGGCAGGCGCCCCTCGCAGGAAAAAAGGCACCCAAGGCAGGCTTCGACATCATGGGCACATTTTATTCCTCAGGACGTTACAGGCTAACTCTCCTGGCGGAGCAGGTCAGTTCTGTTTCTGTGGAAAGTGTGCACCTTCGAAATCGTGGGGCAGTTTGTCCCTCGGACACGGTCACCGCGGCTCCTCCGCGGCGCAGGCACAAGAAGCAGGTTCCTCCAGCACGAAGCCGGCCGTGCGGGCCCAGACGCGAGACCCGTCCGCCCCTGTCCGCGGCCTTGGCGGCGAGGGCCCCTCGCTGGCCGCGCCCGGAGCCCCGCGCCCAGCCTGGCATGCATGCGCTGTGGTTAAGGATAGAGTGAAGGGGTCATTCACAGACGTGTCCATGACACAGAAGACGGCCTCACACGGACTCCTCGGTGGACAGCAGTAATGGGTTGATGTACTCAAAACCTTCAAACTCCGACTGGTCGATCCTCTTTATGACGTCCCTGTGGGCAGGGGGGGGGGGGGGGGGCCTTGGGTCAGCCCTGCCCCCGCCCCCCCCAGCACCCCCCTCAGGCCCCGCCCCCTTACTCGTCATCCGGGGTCAGCTGCACCGGCTCGCTGGTGAACTGGGTGTCAAAGTTGTCCAGACCGTACTCGTCGGTTATCTGGGGCTGGAACGGCGGCAGCGCCTGCTTCTTCTCCAACTGGGAAGGACAAGGCGAGGGGTCAGGGCTGTGAACTGTGCGCCTGGTCTCTACCGGATCTGGGTTTTTGCAGGGACTTCCGTCACAGAATGGAACAGGAAGACACCCAGGGCTTAACCTCGCCCTGCGTCTGCCTGCCGGCTCTCCCTTCCCTTGCACACAAGTTCCGGGAAAAAGTATCTGAAGCCAGAAAAGTCCTGACCCGCGTGAAAAACATGCTGGCGGAACCCGGGATTGAGTCTGGTCTTGGGCGGTTTTTGTTTCTTACATCTCGGAACCCTGGTCATAAAGGAGCTGGGACCTGGCAGCGCCGCCGCTGCCCACGCCAGTGCCCGTCCCAGCGGGGCCTTCCTCCCCTCTGATCACAGGGGACGCTCATCAGGCAGGAAGCAGGGCTATCAGGATCCAGACTCTGACTTCCAGCTCACCACGTACGGGGCTGGGACACACCTGTGCCACAGGGCAGAGTGCCCGGGCAGGCGCCACTCAGCGGCATGTCCCCCGGGCGAGGGTGCGGAGGGCCTGCTCGCTCAGTCCCTCGGCTACGCGCCCAGTCTCCCCCCCGCGCCCCCAGGGGTGTGCCCTGCACCTACCTGTGCTGGGCCAGGCGCGTTCCCAAGAACACTCAGCTACAGGCGAGGGAGGAGGGTCCCTGCTCCGGGGATCTGTCGCGAGTTGTCCCCTCCCTCCCGTGTGGCCGCACGTGGAGCCAGCCCTGTGCAGTCCACACCCCGCAGCTCTCAGGGGCTCAGTTCCCCCGGCACGCTGCCCGGCTGGAGGGCCCTTGGCAGGGCTGAGCCCAGGACCCGCCTGCGCGGCCTCCGCTAATCCCCGCGCAAGCCGTGGGCCCGTCCCGGGCACAGCACAAACAGCGGGCACGGGACGTGGGAAGCACGGGCACCCCCTCAGCTCGTGAAGGTCTCGAGGGTGTCGCAGACTGAAGTCCTTCCCGACCCCCCGGGCTTCCCTCCACTGTCTCCTATTCAGTGACAACGGCACCCCCTCAGGCACTGAGGGGCCCCGGGCCCTGCACCCCGCGTTCCTCTCCACGCAGAGCACGGCCTCTGCTGAGGCAGATGTGCACCCGAGAGCAACAGCGGCTGCCCACCAGGCTGTCACTCACTCGGCGGAGCCAAGCTGGGCCCACGTGCCCCCACGTCCCCTAGGGGATCACCCACAGCGGCCTCCGCCCACTGGGGTCTGACTGCATGGACTCTGCTCATAAAAGAGTAACCTCCTCATTTCCATGCCACCAACCCTTTCCCTCTGATCTTGGGAGAAACCTTAAGGGCTGGAGAGGAGACCTGGGCCGCACTGGAGATGGGATGGGATGGGGTTTTCGGCAAGGACACACGGACCACAAGTGACCAGATGCCGCCTTCAGGGGCCAAGGCTGGTGGTCTGGCTGGAGCCCCACGGCGGGGTGGGGGGGAGGTTTCCACGAAGGCCTTCCCTAGTTCGGCGGGTCGGTGCCTACCTGGAGCTGGGGCTGCACTTCGTGCCACCTCAGTCAGGAGGGCGGGAGGGCACTGGGCACCGCCACGGGCTCAGCTAGCCGGCATGTGGGCCACTGACACAGTGTGGCCTCCAGGGGTTCTATGGGTGCAGGGGTGGGGGTGGGGAGGCCGGCCTGAGAGCGGGAAGGTGCCATCCCTAACCGTAGCCTGGTGGCGGCTCGCTCCTCTAGTGTGTCCCAAGCTGGACAGATAATAGGGACCAGCCCGAATGGAGACACCCCCCCCCCGTGCCGCTGAAGCAATCAAAGGCAGTTTCCTTTTTTAAGTAACCTCTATGCCCAACGTGGGCTTGAACTCACAACCCTGAGATCAAGAGTCGCTCGCTCCACCGACTGAGCCGGCCAGGCACCCCTCAAAGTCAGCTTCCTGGTTAAAAAGCGCGCGTGCTCTGAATACTGTTCTAAGTATTTGTGTCTAATGACGCCGAGGAAGAGGGGGCTGGATTCTGTTTTGAAGCAGCCCAGCCTGGACAGGGCTGCGTGTGGCAGGCGGGCGTCCTGGGAATGGGGATGGCCCTTCTCCCCACAAAGGCACAGACGGCCGTCCTCTGGGTGGAAGGTGACAGTGACCAGGTGAAGCGGATGGGAGCTGCTCTGCCCACAGGGGTGGGCACCATCCTCGGTGCCGGCCGCGGGGCCACCACCACAGCGGGGGGTTGGGGGGCACGACACCACCCCAGAGCAGGGCTTCCACCTGATCGAGTTCAAGCTCAGGTTCCAGCTCCATTTCAACATGCACTTAATTAGTGAGCTAATCTCCTTTTCCTCAGAGGAACATATTTTAAAGGTTACATTTTAGTAACTTGCAACCATCTATGTATTTCAAAACCAAAATGGCTCAATTTCCCTTTAGTACCGGGAACCCCGGCACAGAGCTAGGAAGGGCCTGCTCTGCTGCTAGCAGCACCCCAGGATGGGGACACGAAGGGCAGCCCCCGAAAGCCAACTACAAGAGCGGAGAAGACGCCCTCTCTGGGCTGGCTCCCACCACTGCATTTAGCACAGAATTGACCAGGTGCTGTGGTCACGGATCAACGACGTCCCCAACTGGACCCCAGGCGGTACAGCGTGTGCTAGGGGACTCCCAGGCGGGGCTTCTCCCAGAACTACCTAGGACCACTGTCGTCAGGGGCTTATCATGGCCCCACACGGCCCCTGTCAATCATAGGTGAACAGGTGAGTTTCCGAATCACTTCCGGGGCCCAGACCCTGATGACACACAGCATGCCCTTCACCTCCATCCCTGCCTTGGGGGTGAGGTGGGGTGGGAAAGGGTCTTTTATGCTTTACCAGGTCCCAGTCGATGCTGCGGAAGAACGCGTGAGACTTGATATCGGAAAATCCAGTCTGTGGCCGGCAGCCGAGCCTCTCTTTGGGGTCCTAGGGGTCAGAGTTCAAATAAGGACATATCAGCACGCAGCAAAGAAGCCCCAGGTCACAGCAGGAGGAAAACCGGCTTTCCTTCCCTCCGTGATAGCCAGAGCTTCCTCGAATCATCTCCAGCCAGTCTTAACCAGCCAGGTGATGAGCAGACATTCCCTTCACTCAAAATTCTCCCCCCAACATGTAGGGTTCATTAAATTTCTCTCTGGTATAATTTCTCATCCTTATGTCTTGGCAAGCATGACTAAAAACTGATGATTCACGGGACAGAGATCAAATGAGGAGGTGGAAGGAGGTGAAGATTCCACCCCCCGCAGGTGTCCCGCAGCTGACCCTGGAAACAAATGCCTGCGGGGCCCCGTCAGCCCCAGCCGGGATGGGACGTCAGGGCAGCCACAGTGTACCTTGTTTAAAAATCCTTTCAAGACGTGGGAGGCTTTCACCGAGAGGAATCGGGGGATCCGGATGGGCTTCTCCAGGATTACTGCAACGATTGGGGCCCCGGTGAGGAGTCTGGGCCCTTCCAGACACTCCGCACTGTGTTTGCTCTGCCCAGCCACCCGGGAGCTGGGTGGTCTGCAGGGCTCTCCAAACCCGTTCTGAGCAAGAATGTCCAGGGCGCTCTTAGGGCCCTGGCCCCTCTTCCCTCCATCCAGCAGGGTCTCTCGCCCACAGAGGGTTCCCCCCCCCCCACCATGCTCACATAGTCACACACGCTCAGGATCACACAGGACCCCAAGAGCATCATCACAAACGTGGGCGCCTCTGCATGTGGCCACCAGAGGGCGCTGTGGGGACCCATCCCAAGGGCAGGTGTTCTGCACTCTGGATGCCCTCTGGCTGGGACCCTAACCCGGCCCGGCCCACCCAGGCCTCCAGGGCGCACACCGCACACAGGGCAGGGGCAGGGAGGAGTCTGGGCTAAAGCAGGGCAGGCTGTGTTTCCTGGTGGTGCTCCCGCTTCCCACCCCAGCCTCTGCCTCCCCGAGAGCCAGTCTGCAAGGAAGTGTCTTCCGTGGCACTGCAGGCACCAGCTGGGACCCTTCCATCCATAACCCCCCAAAGCGGAAACACCTGCTCGGGGAGGCGGGGACAGACCCGCACGCACGGCCTGGGGGAGGCACCTGAACTGAACCCCGGGGAGACGGCCAGCGGCCCACGTACCTTGAAAAAGGTAGTCCTCTGTGTTCATGTCGGGGTTGTCGGTGATGATGTCAAAGGGGGAGCGCCCGGCCATCATTTCAAACATCAGGACGCCCAGTGCCCACCAGTCCACGCTGAACCCTGCAGGCACGGCAGAGGCCCGGCACGCGGGCAGTCGGCAGGGGCACGGCTGCAGGCTGGGTGTGCTCCAGCCGCAACTTCTCACCGGAGGCCTGGCCTCCCCCCTGCCCACCCTCGTGGGGTCCCGGTCTCTTTTTCTTCCCCCTTAATTGTTTACAAAGCTGTTTTCATATCAGGGCCATTAACTCTATACCTGCCACTTCGCTGGTTTTCCAGATTGTCATTTGGCCCTTTAATCCTGCATGTGGCCCCTTCGACCACAACAGACACGTAAAACTGAGTGTGCCTGATGGGCAAACGTCCTTTTCATTCTCCTTCGGTTCACCTGAGCTTGAAAAATTCCCTTCTCTGAGACTGCAAAACTCGGGGGCACCTGGGTGGTTCAGTCATTTAAGTGTCTCATTCTTGAGTTCAGCTCAGGTCCTGATCTCACAGTTTGTGAGTTCAAGCCCCACATAGGGCTCTGTGCTGACAGTGGGAAGCCTATCTGGGATTCTTTCTCAAAAAAACAAAAAAAACCCGTTTCCCACATTTTTCTATATTCACGGTTTCAGTTAATCTGTCAGGGTTAACGATTTTACTGCACAGGATGGCGGGAGTGGGAGAGCCTGGCTTCAGTTGTGCCCGCAGCCCCTGCACTGTCCGGACAGCAGCCCCCATCCCGTCCAGGATCCCGTCCCGGGCCAGCTTCAGACTCTCCAACCTGGTCTGTCCATCTGCTGGCTCTCCTTCCCCGTCGTCTGGCTACTCAGAGCTTCAGTTATAGCAGTCTCCTGAGCACCTCCTCCCCCAGAGCACAAGTGACCTACCCACCCAGCCAGCCCCAATTTTCATGGCAAAGAAAATGTTTAAAAATACTCGATGGGGCGCCTGGGTGGCTCAGTCGGTTGGGCGGCTGACTTCAGCTCAGGTCATGATCTCGCGGTTCGTGGGTTCAAACCCCGCGTCGGGCTCTGTGCTGACAGCTCAGAGCCCAGAGCTGCTTCAGATTCTGTGTCTCCCTCTCTCTCTGACCCTCCCCTGCTCACGCTGTCGATCTCTCTCAGAAATAAAACATTTAAAAAAATGTAAAAATACTTGATGATGTATTTGTGAGACACTCCACTGGAAACACTAGGATAAAGAGTGTGGGTGTGCACATGTGTGCAAACATGCACCAACACACACCACACACAAACATGCATCACACATGTGAGCCCTCCACATGCACCACACGTCCCAATGCGCACACACACACAGGTGCACACACACACATGCACACACACAGGTGCGCACACACACAGGTGCACACACACAGGTGCACACACACACACAGGTGCACACAGTGTCATCTCATTTTCACCTCAAGCCCAGAGAGGAAGAGGCACAGACAGCCTTCTGCTGACGGCAGGGGCTACTGGGTAACCCGCACCCGCTGGCTCCGCTAACGCCTGTGTCCCCCGCTGACACCAACCGGGGCCCCAGACCCAGGGGTTGTGTTGGCTTCATGGGGCTTTTCCTCCTTCCCAACCCCTTGGGGCTCCTTGACAAAAAGGAATCCCATGCAGAGTCCTCCACCAGGGACACTTGAGTGGACACCAGGACACGCAGGGGCCACGCGGGTTCACGTGAGGGCAGAGGCCAGACGCTGACAGGCCGGGACGAAGTGAGGGCTGTGCTTTAGATGTAATTTGGTCAGTAAAGCTCTCCTTTAGGACCCTTGGCAGCGTCAGCCCCAGCAGGCCCGCCTGGCCCTCCGCATCGTGCATCGTGCCTGCATCCCGAAGGCTCTGGTGTCCCTTGCAGCGGCGGGGGACAGGGCTCGTCCACGCCCACCAGCTGAGTGCCTGTGACCAGCGCCTCCCCCACCGCCCGCAAGCCCCGCCCCAGGCCCCGCCCCCACAGCCTTGCCCCGGAGCCCCGCCCCACGGTCGGGCTCACCATACTCCTCTCCCCGCAGGATCTCCGGGGCGATGTAGTTCGGGGTTCCGCAGAACGTGCTGGTGGTGTCGCCAGGGCCCAGGCCTTCCTGTGGGGACACAGTCCGTTACCAGAGAGGAAGAAAAGCGTCTGAGGTTGGTTAGAGAAGGAGGCGCCTCGCCTGGGCCCCTGTGGGCTGCGGTGACCCCGAGGTCAGCACCTCTGACCCTGCGGGGGTGAGACGGTCAAGGCGCTGTGCCGACCGTGAACCCCGGGCCAGGTGGGGCGGCCTGGGGGCCAGGTGCTCGCCTTGCACATGCCGTAGTCCGTTAACTTGATGTGGCCGTCCGCGTCGAGAAGGACGTTGTCCAGCTTCAGGTCCCGGTAGATGATCCCTCTCTCGTGCAAGAAGTTGAGCGCAATACAGATCTCAGCGGCGTAGAATCTGGGGAGCACAGAGCAAACTCAACAAGGCGCCGCGGCGAGAGGCCCGTGTGCAGACAGCAGGAGCTGGGGGTACCCCGGCCGCCCTGGCGCCCTCGTGCTCACCAGCACGTGGGGCCAGTGAGACCGCCAGAGGCGCTCAGCGTCCCAGACGTCAGGGGAGAGCAAATCAGGACCACGGCACCCACGCTCGGACGGCCACTCTCAGAGACACAGACAGAAAGTAAGCAATGTTGGCGAGGATGTGGAGAGTGGACTGCGTGAACGCGGCTGGTGGGAACGTAAACTGGCCGGGGCAGCACGGAGGGTCCTCAGTAGGTTCAACAATGAAACACCGTGCAGGGTCCCAAAGGGCTATCTGCACAACCCCGTTCGTAACTGCATTATTCGCCGTAGCCAAAGGTGGAAGCAATGTCGGACAGGTGGGTAAGCAAAACGTGGCCCCTCCATCCACGGGGATGTTTGTGAGCCTGCTACGATAATGAAGACTGAGGCCATCAGCCAGCCCTCAAAGGACACATGCCAGGATTCCACTCACAGGGTCCCTCGGGGGGACTGGGCAAGGACTGGGGGGGCAGCGTTTCCCAAGGCAGAGCATCAGTTTGGGAAGACGGAAAGTTCCAGAGACGATGGTGAAGATGACCGCCCGAGTGTGTGAATGTGCCTAATGCCCCCGGGCTGTGCACTTACAATGGCTAGAATAGTGACTTTTAAGTTACATACCTTTCACAACTAAAGAAAGAAAACATGAGGTGCCTGGGTGGCTCAGTAGGTTAAGCATGTGACTCGATCTCTGCTCAGGTCCTGATCTCATGGTTCGTGAGTTCAAGCCCCATGTCAGGCTCTGCACTGACAGCACAGAACCTGCTTGGGATTCTCTCTCTCCCTCTCTCTGCCCCTCCCCCACTCTCAAAATAGATAAATAAACTTTAAGAAAATAAAAAAGAAAATACTACTGTGTGAGGAGTGTGTGATTCCTGATTTAGTACCTGCCTTTCTCTGGAAAGGATGTGAGGTGACTCAAAACACTGCATGGAACTGATTTGAGAGAGGCAATGAGGAGCAGGGGAACATGGAAAACAGGAAGGAGGTGGAAAAGAAATTCACACTTGAGGCCAAGGCTGCAGAGGGCCGGGGGGGAGGGGGCTGGTGGCCCTGAGAGTCACTGTCACTTGACAGAAACGGGTTATTATCCTCCGAGAGCCAACACCCTGCATCTGTGAACCAGAACCAGAAGCAGCAGCCACGATGCCCACTCGGGTGAGTTCACAGCAAGAGAGTGGCCCCCCCACCCCATTTTGGAAACAAGGAAAATGGAAGAACCGCTGTGGGCGCCCGCCCGCCCAGGAAGCGCCCACCTCTCTGGGTGACGTGCCGGCCTGCTGTGGAGCCTGACGCTCGCAGGGGACAGTGACGCCTTCTTTGCCGTGCCCCCCAGCTCCCTTCCGGCCGGGCCGCACCCCCACCCCCAACCCTCCAATTACCTGGCGTGCTCCTCTGGAAGCTTCCTCTGTCTCTGCATGTGGAACATGAGGTCCCCGCCATTGACATACTCTATGACCAGGAACAGCCTGAAGGGACACGGAGGGTGGTTGGGATTGAGACCCCCGTGGTGGACCGTGCGGACCTAACTAGGGGGTTCAGTGTGGGGAGGCCCCATCACCAGGGACGGCTGAGCCTGCCCGAGGGCACGGGGCCCAGGGAGGGAGGCCCGGGGTCGCCTGGCCCCTCCCGGGCCGGTGAGGAATGAGGCTCAGAATGAAGAGTTGGGCTCTGAGCCTGGGTCACTGGGCACCGTCCGGGGGGATGTCCAGGCCCTGCCTGTGGGCAGGTGTTCTCAGTTCCAGTCCTGACATGGGAAAAGTGCCAGAGAGCACCGTGACAATCCCATTCAGCCGCTGGGATGGCCGGGATGTCCCCCAGCACAGGAGCAGAGCTCTCCCCCACGGAGCCAGCCTTCGGGTAAAGGAGGTGAAAACATGGCCGGGGCAGGTGTCCCCAGAGAGCAGAGGCAGGACATGGAGGCAGAGGGCACCAGGAGAGCGGGTGTGCGCACGGGCCAGGGGAGGGGGTGACGACCTCTGGCGAGTGACTGCTGTGGCCAGAGTCTGGGTGGACCCCAGGGAGGCACAAGCCGGTGCCCCGTTGCCGGGCGGGAGCCCAGGAGGTTTGGATCGGGGCAGGTGGTGAGCAGGCACCGAGGACAGCGGGTGAGGCTGACGGGGGCTGGACACCGACTGACAGACCCCTGTCTGTCACACCTGCAGGGGTGACTTGGGGGCAAGGAGAAGGCCTGTGGGGGGGGCAGCTGGGCCAGGGAGGCTGGTGTGGCCCTAAGACCACACGCTGTCCCGTCTCCCAAGTGACTCCTTCTGTGTGCCATCGTTCTTCAGTTCATGAAGATGCCATTTTTGAAATGAAAGTCATGCACAGTCTTCGAGAAACACTGTGTTGAGGACAGCTCATGGCTCCGCGGGTGCGGGGTGGGGTGCTGCGCCCACACGGCGGGAGAAGACGGGCTTCAGGCCCCCTACGGTGCTGGTTCTGAGACGCGTTTACACGAGCCACAGCCCGAAATCTGTAAACCCGCAGATGGAAAAGGGCCTGGACGAGCAGCCGCAGCCCACCCGCCAGTGGGGAGCAAGCCTCAGCCCTTGCTCTGCTCCCCAGCCTCCAAAAGAAGCATCTGGAAGGGTGCAGAGAAACCCTGGCCTCCCCAGGGGAGACTGTGAAGCTCCGCCCACCCAGCACAAAGCCACACCCACTCACATGTGTCTTGTGGCGTTCAGGTCACAGCAGAGAGAGACCGTTTACCATCTGGCTCTGACAGTTTGCACACACAGGCCACCAGGAGGGAAGTGTGGCAAAGGTCACCGTGGGAAGAGACCTCGGACCTCTAACCCCGGGGATGACTTCAAAGCGGCAGACGGAGATTTTCCACAGCGACCAGGAATCACGTCCCCAGGCTCCCTTGCAGGGATGCTCACCCCAGCGCGGTGCTCACCCGAAACACTGCTCCGGCCCGGGCCACCTACCTGCCCAGCATCAGGTGATGCTGCCTTCCCGTAACGGGGACAAGCCAGCACCACCACCAGAGAGAACAGTACACTCATTCTGGGAAAGTATCAGAGCCTTAAGGAGCCCAGAGATGAAGGGGACATTTGAAAACGTAGAAGTGGAAGCAAAGGTAGTTTCCTTTCTCCATCCAGAGAAAAGTCGTGGGCTCTGAGGGCCACTGAGGGCTCTGATGGAGCCAGGCCGGGCTGTCTGTGGCCACCACCTGCAGTCTGTGGTCAGGGGGTAATTCCCGGATCAAAGGACTGTTTCAGTTTGCCAAACCCGATCAAGCCCCAGTCACAGTGGAAGAGGATCTCGGCTTTCTCTGCGGAGGCAGTGTCAGACCTATGGTTTTGGGGTATTTTTCCCCTTTTTTGGTCTCCAGATAACCCGTAAGCCTGCTTTTGACGTTTCCTCAGAGCAAAGCTGCACCAGATACGTGGCACCAATTCCCCCTGATGGTGAGGCCCCGTTGACTCGGAGCCGGCTGCCATGGCCGAGTGCCACAGGTGAACAGAGGCGCGGATGAGGTGCGGCCTCCTGTCTACAGACGTCCTAACTGCATGTCTGAAAACGCAGGAGAGCTACCTCCCGGCTCACGAAGCACCGAGAGCAAAGCTTACGCGGGAGCCGTGCGTGCGGCCGGCCAGACCTCGCACGGGAACGAGAGATGAGCTCAGGACAAACATTCGGCCAGGGACTGACGATACCGCACGGAGAAAACTTCACCCACATCAAAAAGTAAACAACAAAAAGGAAAAAATAAGCAGCGACAGTGTGACGATAATCCAGGGCGCTGGGTGTCCGCCAGGTTGTCTCCCTCTGGGCGCGTGTCTGCATTTTTAAGATTGCAAGGGGGTGCCTGGCGGGCTCAGTCAGGAGAGCTCTTGATCTCGGTCGTGAGCTCGAGCCCCACGTGGAGACTGCTTTAAATAACTAAATATAGAAATAAAAATGCGGGGCACCTGGGTGGCTTAGTCGGTTAAGCGTCCGACTTTCGCTCAGGTCATGATCTCGCGGTTCGTGGGTTCGAGCCCCGCATCAGGCTCTGTGCTGACTGCCAGCTCAGAGCCTGGAGCCTGTTTCAGTCTGTGACTCCCTCTCTCTCTGACCCTCCCCTGCTCACGCTGTCTCTCTCTCTCTCTCTCCTAGAAATAAATAAAACATTTAAAAAAATAAATAAATAAAAAATAAAAATGCATAAAGCTTCTAAAAGAAGCTATTCTCTGTGCCTTCTGAGGTCGCAGTTCAGGTCTGTGCTGACAGTTTCCTGGACACATGGAGCCCTGGGATCGTCTGAGCCCGAGTGAGGCCTGTCCTGGGCGACGATGACATGGCAGCGTGCCCACCCTCATCCGCTTCGGGTCCCCAGCTCCTAAGGGGACAGTCCCAGGATGCCGTGGAGCATGGCCCACACCCCAGAGGGGTAACGCGCCTATGCCCACCTTGTCCTGGCCCCAGGTCGCTTCTGGATGAAGAAGACACAGCCACCCGCTTGCATCAAGAGTGGTGTGAGGTCCCTGGCGGCTGGAGGGCTTGGCCCCGAGGGCCCCTCACCGCCCAGGGCTTTGACATGACCTACTGACGCTGTCCGCGACCAGCGCCGTCCCCCCCACCCCCGGCTTGTGGAGGTATAGCGGAGCCCCCAAGACGGAGGGACCCTCTCTCCCCACGGCGGCTGCCTGCTGCTGGTCCACGGCCCTGGCGGCACTGCCCTGCGAGCTGAAGGGCCCGGAACACGCACCCCGCCACGTGGCGCCCGCTCCCTGTGTCCTAGGCTCACATTAAATCACGACTCTGACGAATGTGCTGTATTTTGAATGTGCAGTGACTCATGTGCTGACAGGGGAGGTGCCCGTGCTGCTGCCGTGCTCACGGCCTCCCTCTGCTAAGCACAGGCCCCAGGCAGCCCGGTCCCCCCCACCCCCAGCCCGCCCGGCTTTGCCTCTGCTCAGCCGCCTCTCAGCCCGCCCACCACCCCCGGCCCCACCGTGCGCCCTACCACCCACTGCACGTGTGTTCGCTGCCGCCCCCAGAGGCCCCAGCGCCCCCCGGCTCCCTGCGCCCCCAGTGCCCCCAGCGCCCCCCGGCTCCCTGCGCCCCCAGTGCCCCCAGCGCCCCCCCGGCTCCCTGCGCCCCCAGAGGCCCCAGCGCCCCCCGGCTCCCTGCGCCCCCAGAGGCCCCAGCGCCCCCCGGCTCCCTGCGCCCCCAGTGCCCCCAGCGCCCCCCCGGCTCCCTGCACCCCCAGAGGCCCCAGCGCCCCCCGGCTCCCTGCGCCCCCAGAGGCCCCAGCGCCCCCCGGCTCCCTGCGCCCCCAGTGCCCCCAGCGCCCCCCCGGCTCCCTGCACAGACCTTCACTTCCACCGCCAGAAGCTCCACCTCGGGGCTGCTTGCGGATTCTTGCCTGCACTGGGCGGCCTGCTCCATCCTCAGCTTGGCTCTGAGGCTTCCTTCCAGGCCTCCGCGTGCCCAGAGGGTCGTTGCCCATGCCCTGACCCCACACTGCTAACCCTCCCAGGGGCTGGGTGTCAGGTTTCCCCAGCAGAACACCACCTTGCTGAGATCTGCCATGGCCTCAGTTTCCCCGGGGCCAAAATGGTTGTGGACAGCTTCGGGACGGCCCCTCACATCTCCCAGTCTCTTTCTGCTCCTTCCTGACAGCACCTTGCCTGGGACACGTCCCTGCTGCCTGTCCCACATGAGGTGCTGGGGCTGAGGTATGGCCCCTCCTCGCCCCTGCTCTCAGGGCCTTCCCGGCCGGCACTCGTACACCGCGATCCCTCCTTGCGCCAGGGCCATTACAGAGTCCCAGCTGATGTCTATCAGAGCTGCAGGCAACTCTTTGAGTGCAATTTATAAAGAAGACACAGAATAGCACTGGCTAAGTGGCATTTAATATCTACACACCACTTTGAACCAAGAGCAATTCATTCGAGGGTCTAAGTCGGCAGAGAGCGCAAGGCTCTTTCGTAAACAAACAAGGCTATTTTCCAGCGAGCGCACCTTCTACAAGGAGTGAGGGTGTGGCGATAAACCGAGGCACAGGGAACAGCGAGTTAACTGCAAATAGTTCAATGGCAGCTTGCTCATCTGAGACCCGAGATAATGTGAAGTGAGAATGTCCCCAAATTACAACTAAATGGGGGGGTTACTAAAAATAGTCACTTTAGCCCATTTTTCCTGGAACAGCTCAAACAGAAGCAGTTCCTGTTGAGGCAATTTTGCAGTTAATTTTGCCGCTGTCAGGAAGATGGGCCGTCTACGCAGCCCCGAGTATGGTCGCTCCACGACGCAGGTGTTCATTTTGTATTAAAACACCACCGTGCTTGCTTCGCGCATGCGCGGTGATATAAACGCCGAGCTGTAAACCTCGGGGCCCGCGCAGCCGCGAGCAGCCGTGGCCGGCCAGAGCGGGCACAGGATTTGAGGGGGGAAAAGAAACCCTTCTGTCTCCCCATCCCGAGACCCTGCAAGCGGCTGCCCCGGGCGCCAGCCACTGCTCTGGCGGCTCGTCGGCCCGCGGTGTCTGCGGGCACTGCTGTCCCCAAGGGTCCTGTCCCCGCGGCCGCCCCCACCCTGCGTGTGGCCGCAGCACGTTTCCGACTTCAGTCCCTGTGGGGGTCCTGCTGGTGGGAGGGTTTGTGGGCACAGTGCTAACAGCCACCCGACCACGATGGGGACGCTGCTGGTCCCTTGGGGACCCAACACGCCGGCGGTGCTTCTGTTCAAAGACACGGCGCCCATATGGCAAGAGGCCGTCCCAGTGGCCCACGTCCACGCACAGGCGGCCACGAGCTGGGCCTGCGTCAACGGTTCAACGTCTTACTAATCCCGCAGCAGCCCTGTTCCCAAAGGACCCTGGGGCACAGGGAGGTGACCCTGTGCGAGGTGACAGCGGGGCTGTGCTCCGGGCCTCGGGCACGCAGCCGTCAGGAAACCCCAGGGCCCTGTGCACACGTCCTCGCAGGCTTTCTGGCCCCCTGGGTCTTGCGGTGTCTCGAAGAGACTTCCCAGCTCTGTAAGCGGCTTTGTCAACGCAGACCTGAGGGGAAGCCCGTCTGCCGGAAGGCACCCCCGGCCCTCAGTGAGTCACATCTCCACTGTGCGGGACCTTGAGCTCTCCTCTGAGCTGGCTGTGACATCTGTAACCCTCACTGATGTGTGAGTCGCGTGAAGTGTGACACACTTCACTTGATCCTTACACCGAGGACTTGATTGTACCCTTAAAAAATAGGCTTTACACTCCACACCTGCCTGTGAGGTGTCAGGTATTAACCAAGTGCTCAGGGTACAAAACCACCCAGCACCCGTACTCTCCCGGAGCCCACAGCCAGTCAGGAGACAGGCACATAACACGGCCCAGGGCAGATGGCCAGGACAGACGGCCAGGTGTTTGGTGCTTCCAGACAGACTAACAGATCCTGTGAAAATGAGAGACAAACTCGCCGTGCACGTTAATTATTCCTGCGATCTGCCCGCCCCGCCTCGTGAACACTGTAAACAGATCTTCTAAATGTCAGTTTGAAAAGCGCTGTTGCAGTGGTGGTGTCACAGGGTCACAGAGAAACACCGAACAGACCAGTGGCACACCTGGGCAAGTGACCCACAGGCCACCACGGGGGGCAGAGAGGGCTGTGCTCCAGGCAACAAAACTGGGAATGAGGCTGAAAGTCTGGCTCCCACACCCCCATCCCCGTGGTCCATACAGTGGAAGCAACCAAAACACGAGTATTCTGCAATCGCGCCCTTCAGGAAGGATACGTTTGGGATGGGCTGTCTGCCCCGGGCGTATTCCATAATTCCCAGAGCCAGTGCGCAATGGAAGCATGGAGAGAATGTACCAGAACACAACACAGGGAATCTGTGACAGCCAGGCCTTTCAGGAAGCTCTGGGGCAGGAGGGGAGGCGGGAGGGACAGGGCGGAGCCCGCGCCACACGGCAGAAGCGACTGGGAAAGTGCCCGCGGGGCTTCGAAGCGGGAGAAAGACACTGGATCTGCGCCTGCACAACACGGCTGAGCTGTGACGTGGGGGAACAGAGGCCGGGGGCCCCGGGGCCGTGGCCAGGGAGGAATCTGGGACACACTGAGGAGGTGGGATCAGTGAGACCCAGGGAGGGAACAAGGACAGATTTGGGGGCCAGGTCATTTATTCCAGGTGCCTCGGACACACTGGTGGCAGCCAGTACGGGTGGGCAGGGGACTGAGGGTCAGGAGGGAGGTGCGGGGGGCCGTGGGGCCGTACACGTCACTGGCCTGATTTACAGCCGGGCGAGTTCCCACGAGCACGACACTGCTGTCCTCAGAAAGGCCTGCTGGCAAGGCTGGCCCTCGGCTGGGGTCTAGGACCTCGCCTGGTGGCAGCTCCCTCCCCCCACACAAAACCTCCTGGAGCGGGGAGGGCGCCCTCCCCACCCGGCCCTGCTCTCTGCTGAGGACCTGGCCGGGCTCTGCTCCGCGCAGGCGGGGGCGCCCACGGGTCAGCCCCCAGTACAAACCCCAAGCTGCCGCAGTTGCTTGCTGGATGACGTGTGTCCTCTGTGACTCGCTCTTGGAATCTCCCGCCTGCTTTTCTCCTGACTGGGCCCCAGACGTCTCTCTCCTTTGCCAGTTTTGCTTTTTACCTTTCACAGCAAGAAACCTCCACCTCGAGTCCTACTACGTGCTGGTCCCATGAGCTCTCCTGCTAAATCACTGAACCTGGGGGTGGTCTTGAAGACCCTGACACAAAATGTAGCCAATGATTTTTCAAATAAACAAACAGGTTGAGTTCAAGTCAAGTGGCTGAAAATAATTCTAAATATATACTATCCTAGACCAGTAGTTTTCAAGTCTTTTAATTTATTAATTTTTTTTTCTTTGGAGAGCGAGTGAGCACGAGCAGCGTAGGGGCAGAGGGAGAGGGAGAACCTTAAGCAGGCTCCATCCCAGCGTGGAGCCCAACGCGGGGCTCGATCTCAGGACCGTGAGATCGTGACCAGAGCTGAAATCAAGAGTCAGATGCTCAACCAACTGAGCCACCTAGACCTTTTAAAACAGTACGACTCCTATAAGTAAGTTTATAAGTGGCATATATTTATTTATTCTGCTTATCGGTAAGATCTAGAAGCACATGGGGCCCCTGGGTGGCTTAGTCGGTTAAGCGTCCGGCTTTCACTTGGGTCATGATCTCGCGGTTCGTGGGTTCGAGCCCCGCATCGGGCTCTGTGCTGACTGCCAGCTCAGAGCCTGGAGCCTATTTCAGAGTCTGTATCTCCCTCTCTCTCTGACCCTCCCCTGCTCATGCTCTC